CACCTCATCTGGCGCTCTCCTCCTTGCCGGCTACGGCGGCCTCGGCGGTTTCGGCAAATTCTGCGGTGTCATCGTCGCATTGGGCGTCATTGCAAACAACATCCCCGGCACCTACGCTGCAGCCCTAGGTTGCCAAGTGCTTGGCCGCTACGGCAAAGCCGTCCCTCGTTACCTCTGGGTCTGCGTTGTTGTGACCGTCTACTTCGTCTGCGCCATTGCCGGCCGTAACAACCTCTTCGCCATTTTCCAGAACTTTTTGGCCCTCATGGGCTACTGGCTCTTGATCTTCGTAAGCATCGTTCTAGAAGAGCATCTCATTTTCAAGCAGGGCATGAGTCTCGGCTTCGACTGGACCCAGTGGGAGAACAAGAAGGCGTTGCCCGTCGGCATTGCTGCTTTGGTTGCTTTCCTTGTCGGTTGGGCTGGTGCTATCATTGGTATGGACCAGGTTTGGTTTGTTGGCCCTGTTGCGGTTATGGTTGGTGGTGGAACTGGAGCTGATATTGGTATCTGGCTCGGGTCTGGCTTTGCGCTTATTGTTTACCCACCTTTGAGGTATCTTGAGTTGAAGACGTTTGGTCGGTAGAGGGAGCTTGGAAGATATTGGCATTTCATTTAGAGGCGATACCATGGATAGTTCGCTGTCTTATCTATCTACATAAGCACTGCTGTATATAGACCTTTATAAAAAGGATTCAGGAGCGATTCACACAAGCAGTTTCTCCCCATCCCAGCTTCAATGCGTGAAACTCCTTGAACGATGATAAGACTGAGACTCCATGAGCAATGGCTACTCCTCTCATACTCAATTACGTGATAACCCCAGCCCCAAAGGTGAGGGGTCTACGCCCTGCTTGTTTACATAATTACATTCAAGGAGCACCAGGCACCATGGCCCATGGGATCAGAGGTTTCAGCAAGCTGAGAATTGGAAAATTGATGCCATGTTGCCGGATCCAGAGCTTATTGTGGACGACAATTACCAGGGTTAAACGCTAGTGGTGAGAAACAATGCCATGGTTAAGAGCCGGGAATGGCAACGATCATATCAGGGCTAAGAGCTAATCAGGCTAGGCGTCAACGGTCAAGGCTGAGAATTGAACCCAATATCAGGGTCGAGACGCCTCGACGCCGAATATCATCAGGCTTAAGAATCATCAATGTTGAAAAAACATCAGGGTTGAGCTATGGCTTGACGAACTTGGTACGGAGGTGGGAATTGAAATTGCTTCTTGGTTTGCTAGAGACGAGAATTTCACCGGGCATAACGGCGCCAGAGCTGAGAGCTGGCATCTGATAAGAAAATGAGACTGAGAAGAGGCTTGGATATCCTTGAGCATCATCGATATAACTGGTGCATGTCCGAGTTGGGATGTTGAATCGTCGATGAAGTGGGCGTCGTAATGGTCAGGGGTATCGACAACGAGTTAGGTCTTAAATGGCTAGCAACAGACCAGCAGTCAGGTCATTTGGCAGCATCTAGCTCAGGGTTCCTTCGTTGGTGCTAGAACGCAGTTCCTTGCTCTGGCCTTAGTGCCAAAGCCTCAGCTCCTTGGTATAGCCTTGTTGCTGGCTTCCAGGTTGTCGCTCTGATAAAGTGCCAGGGCCCCCAGCTCGTTGTTCTGATCAACTACCTGGATCTCAGCTTTCTGGCACAGCGGTTTCGCCAGCATCCCAGCTCCTCGCTCAAATCAAATCCCAGAGTCTGGGCTCCTTGTTGCAACCAAATGCCAGAATCTTAGGTTTTCATAATGGCGGAGTCAACGGTACCCAGCTTCTTGATTTGATCAAATGCCAGGGTATCAGCCGTTTGATACGACCGTGATGATAGCAGCATGCTTCTTGCTCTGGTCAAGTTGCAGGGTCAAGGCTCGTCGCTCTGAAGGAATGTCAGGATCTGAGCTCTCCGGGATTGCTCAATGGGGCGGCATGTCATGGTAGAAATGGTCTGAATTTGAAGAATAAGCGGTCGTGGGTATCACTTAGTTGGTCATATTTCCGATGTCAGCATAAACGTTCCACACAGTGATGTTGTAACGCATCAAACCATTGAGCAACTTTCTATACCCAGCGCCATCGCTACCCAAGCAATATGACAACGGCGCCTAAGACCCTCAAGCAGCAGGTCCAACACCCCTCAGCAGCACAACCGTATTCCCACTAACACACACATCCCCCACCTTCTCCCCAAACTCTAGCAACCGTCCCATCTCCACATGAAACACCCTCAACCTCTCCTCCTCTCCACCGCCTCGATTATTGACATTCTCTACCTGAAGAGTCTTCGCAGCAGCATCCAACACGCGCCCCACGCTCCACTCCTTGTTGAAGAAACACTCGCCCTTTGGTAGTTTGCTGCTTGTGGTATTCGCCTCAGCTTCCACATAGAGATATGTTCGCTTCTCGACAGGGACTTTTGCATCGCCTTTTGCTGATTTCTTGAGTGCGTTCACTGCGAGTATTCGGCTAGCTGCTGTAGACGGTTTGGGCTTTGGTAGCACGGCTGCTTGTTTCTCTTTTCCCCATACTCTTAGGCGGCCGAGCGCTGCCTTAGCTTTATCCGCTCGTGTAGGACCTGAGGACTGCCGCACGCCGATTGGTATGAGTGTAGAACAGCTGTGATCCTCCTCTAACCGATGTTTGAGACAATATTGCCTGTTACACGTAGGACATCCAACGCCGACAGAGCTCAAAGTATTGATATAAGTCTTGCAGCTCGGATGCGAGCACTGCGATGCCGTCAGCAGCGTCGGTTTACCAGGTAGATTTATATTCGTAGTAGGTGAAAGCGCCTCAGCTTTCCGCCTCGCAGCAGCCCATTCGCCTGCTCGGGGACACTTATGGCCACTTTCGGTACGATGCTCAAGACAGTATGTTCCTTTACAGGATTCACAGCGAAAAGGGAGGAAGTCGAGTTGATTGCAGTAGTTGTATTGGCAGTGAGAGCCTATAGCGTCAAGGTCTTTGTCCATGGTTGTGAAGGTTTGCGTTTCCGCTGGGGGAGGGGAGGTGGAGGTGGAAGCCATGGTGGGCGATTTGTGGAGGTGTTTTATGAGTATACAGTCGTTGCCGTTTCAGGCTGCGTGGGTTCGTCAGCTGTGGCCATGAGGTGGCAGATGGAGGGTTTGGTAAGCGTAGCCTCGAGAATGTACGAGAAGGCTTTGATAGGGCTGAACCGCTAGTGTTTTATTACCGGGGAGAAAAATCGCGTCTTTCACGTTGCGACTTTCACGAGTTGATTTTCCATTTTATTTGCTACCTAGTTTCTGTATAGAGTTTTTAGAGTGTGCAACATACTTTTTACAGTTCGTGAAAATTGGAAAGCTGTACGATATGGGCTGGACATACATACGTTTTCTGATGGGAATATCATAGTCATCGCTTATTGTGCAGAGAAAGAAATGGGATGCTTTCTTTAGTGAATTAGCAAAACTTGCCCCGATGGTGCCCCTTTGCAAGTAATCCTCACGGTTTCTATGGGCTTCTGATGAAGACAGAGACAACGTCAAACTATCTACCAGGATGGCACCCAGACCGTTCCCCTTCCAGCTTGGCGTTGGGATTGACATATGTCGGATTACGCGTATTGTAGCGCTGCTACGGCAGGAATCTACTCGAAATCGCTGGGCTCGGCGAGTATTCACTCGTCTTGAGTGGATGGCGCTGTGCAGGAGGTTTGAACGGGTCAATCAACTTCAAGCAGGAGAGCCAGTCGAACAAAAAATAATTAATTACCAGCAATCAAATCAAGAAAGCCAAGATGCTCCAGAAGGCATAAAGATTCCCGAGAAGGACTTATGGATGCTGCCGAAGCTCTCTAATTTGTCATCGATTCTCGAAGACACGGAAGCGTACTCGGTAGCAATTGGTGATGCGAGGTCACCGCTTGGGTCATTGGCACGTCATCTTGCTGGAAGGTTGGATTATCCCTCCATTGTACGACTCTTTTCTCTTTTGTCTAACTCTTTGTCTATAGATGGGCGGCCAAAGAAGCAGTAATTAAAGCGCATCGCCATCGGCAACTTTCCATGCAAGATATTTCTATCGTCCTACCACGAAAGTCTTTCAGACCACTACCTGGAGATAACAAGGTTACGGCGCTCATTGAGCCAGTTTGCGACACCGTCCGCATCAGTGAACGCGTAGCCGCTCTAAGAGGGTTGCGAGGCTTTAGGTCTCAAAGCCAGGAGCTCGACAAGGATGCCTTGATGAACAAGGCGGAGGAGTTAAAAAATCAAGATGAGAAGAGGATTAAGAGGCAAAGACATTTTGACAGGCGTACGAGAGTCAACGAGTCCGACAGACAAGTCGCAGAGATCAACATCAGTCATGATGGTGATTACGCCGTTGCCGTTTGCATGGCTTTCGATCCTCCAGGTACCCAGATCAAGGAGAAGATATTAAGCGACACCGGCAAGGGACTTCCAAAGCATGAACCACAATGGGGCGATAAAGGATGGTTTGACCCTCACGAGGAGAAGGTAGTTGAAGACATGCGAATGGAGGATCTGCTGGAGGAGCCGGATGATGACAATGATCCCGAGGCTTTCAGAAAAGCATTCAAGCGGGCATTGGAAGGTAGTGAGGAGAATGATTATCGAAGGCTTCCACCACTACCATGACAAAGCTTCGAATGAGCCTGGGACTCGCCAAAATCCGATATTATCGAGAGCAATAGTAAACCAACGTCGGTTTGACATGGTGGATATCTATCTATCTTGTACTGTACGTACGATGACTGCCCGTTGTCCTTTGACCCGATGTACGTTTCCAAAATGCGTACAATACTTAGGATGAAAAGGTCTCTCGGGAGTTTTAGAACTAGCTGAGAAAAATCCTGTATCATAGCTGATCCGATCATTACCTATGTTAATACTTCCCCCAAAAGTCGTACTCCGAAGTAAACCCGACGCCCGTAAAATTTGCACAATTATTGTAATTAATCACTTAGCAAATATAAATATTATTTAATCATTTAGTGAAAAGGATAGATTATAATTGGGGTGTTGGCGCAATGGTAGCGCGTGTCTCTCCTATTAATTGATGACATAAGACAAGGTTGAGGTTTGTCAATTGCTGTCAATTTTGATTCTTCTGATTGCTTACATCTTCTAGGGTTCGAGTCCCTTGCACCTCGCCAATTTTTTTTTGGAGGTTTTAATTATCAGGATTACTATCCAGCTCCCAGAAACTATAGAATAGTAACTCAAGTTCTGCGGAGGCCGACTTGGCGCCACCCACGGCTCCCAGACAACAATCTCTTTCGTCACCGCTTTTCAGGCGTTTTGTGCTACCTGTGACATCTAAATTTCGATCCTTTTCTGTTCCATCTGTTTTGAAAGACTTAGAGAACAGAGCATCTCATGTACTGAATATCTAAGATTCAGATTCCAATTTTCGTTGCTAAATTGGAACAATATTTTGCAATTCCTTCCATCGAACCTCCTTGATCGGTACAGTACTGTTCGGAAGCCGATTTCCCATAGAGCTATGCCTTTCTCTCACCACAGCCATTCTGGCGAATTCTGCGGTCATGGCGAGAATACTGTGGAAGAGGTTGTCCAGACTGCCATCAGCAAGAAATTCCAAGTCTATGCTTTGACAGAGCATATGCCTCGAGAAGAGCAAGATCTCTATCCTGAAGAAGTACTTCAACCTTTCCTTCCTGAATGGCGCCAGACTTATGGGATTTATAGATCAAATCATCCCATACTACAGCCACACTCTCTAAGCAATTCAATGATTACTACTACGAGTCTTTACGGTTACAAAAGACATACGCTTCGGAAATCAAGCTCCTCATTGGCATGGAAATAGACTGGATAAGACCATCTTCGAAGGAGATCATTGAAGATCTACTGAGCAAGTACCAATTTGATCTATTCATTGGCTCTGTACATCATGTTCATACAATACCTATCGACTATGACCGAAAGTTATATCTCGAGGCTCGGGAAAAGGCTGGTGGAACCGACGAGAGACTGTTTGAAGACTACTTTGATCTACAGTACGAGATGCTGAGGGCTTTGAAGCCGCCTGTCGTTGGTCATTTGGACTTAATTCGCCTCATGAGCGATGACCCGGATACGAGGATGTCGCAGTGGGAAGGAGTATGGCAGAAAATCCTCAGGAATCTAAGATTTATTGCCGAGTATGGAGGTGTTGTTGAGCTGAATTCGTCGGCTTTGAGGAAGGGAATGAGGGAGCCGTATCCCACTGCGAAAATATGCAAGGTGGGGTGAGCATCCTGTTGGAACGATTTTATGTGGCTGAAACAATTGCAGGAATTCCTCGCTATGGGAGGTGCTTTCACATTGTCAGACGACAGCCATGGCATTGGTCAGGTCGGGACGAATTATGGGAAGCTTCTGGACTTCGTTGAGAAGACCGATCTCCCTACAATTACCTACTTCAAGAAGAATACCACTACCAAGGATGATCGCTTCCCAGGTGTATCTATAAAGATGATCACCGTGACAAGCATCAAAGAACACCCAACCTTCTTTTGAATGGATCCACTGGACAGCACCGAAGATTCTTTGGCGTCTGACCACTTACATACCTATCCGGACTTATGCGTTTATTGCCGATGCAAGGGTCTCTCGAAAAGACAAGCCCGTTTGCTCTACTTTGACAGGCCCAGGTACCCGAAACTATCTCTCAATCAAGCCATGCAGTCCGAAACTCGTACTTCATCCCACACTTGTATCTCCTTTAGGACGCTCGCCTGAGGCAGCTTGACACGTCGCAGGTCAACGTGCAGGCCAACAAATGAGACCAAGTGTTTGATAAGAAGACGTCATTCATATCAGTCGGCAGTAGCGTGGGGAAAAGCACGTAGGAATGCCGATAACTGAGATCGTGGCAGCGAATCATGTATTGTGAACGTTGCAACATCCGTAAGCCTTTGCTCCACAACCTGCCACATTCAAACAGTCTGCGCCGGATCTGATCAAGGATCTGAATCCTGCGGAAGCACAAGTGGCAGCTGAGTGCAGATGGGCTTGCATAAATAGTAATACGCTTTTTAGAAGATCCCGAAGTACCTAGTACACGCGTATCAAAGCGACATCGGCGAGCCATTTGCAGACAGCCCAACAAAGTAAACAACACTGACTTTGTTGAATTGATCCCTTGCCCAGAGAGCAAAAGCACGTCGTAGTCCTGAAATGTCAATGATACGCAACCGAAAGGTTCTTCTCGTTGAATGAAGGGCCCCGCTGGCCATATTTGGCTAAGAGGCAAAAAGCAAACAGTCGAGGGGTTCCGGCCAGAACAAAATGATCGGAGCAAGGAAGCCTCCACGCCCATCCTGGCTGTCAGACTGTAGATCCTGACACCATAGTCGATCACCCTGACCTGAACGTTGTGAGGTGAACGCACAGAGTCGCTTCGAATCCTTGAAGACAATCATCACAGCTTCCTTCAGCAATGGGGGCCCTGAAGATACATTGTTTGATGCCCAATATACAACCACCACAACGATTCAAGTCGAAGCCCATAGAAATTAACAAAAGTCGGTGGAAAAGGCTTTTGCTATTTGTAAGAACTCAAAGAGCATCTAAACCTTCTTCAGCATGAATCTTCTCTAGCTGCAAAACGAAGTGGGATGTCTCCCCTTCCTCAATTAATTCCTGACTTATCTGCCATCCAATGGACCAACTTACCCTCGTCCCTTGACTCTCCGCTACAGACTTCTCCTCATACCCCGAACACCCCAATCCACTGCCCTGGGCTCTTGAGATTCTGAGGCTTGCACTAACGCATTCGAAGATTTTGGACTCGTCTGACTGCCGAAAAGCCCGTGAGGCGTTTGACGTGGACAGTCATGGGTTCTTACCCTCTAGGAACAGTGCAAGTGCGAGCTCGTCATCTCCTCTTAGCCGTACAAGGAAACTCTTCTCCTGGCTCCGAGGCTGTCAGACTTTCCCCACTCTGTCTCTCATTTGCCTCAACGAGCCTCCAATAAGTGACTTAACCGGGATCTAAAAGCATTCCAGACCAGTCGATTAGCAGTCCATTCACTTGCCTCCCTCCAAGCCTCAAGTAACACCTCAGAACATATACCCACCGAAAATTTACTCCTACCTGACTGGACCTGCACACTACGACAACACCATTTCTACGACCCGCTCTTAGCAATCACGCCAGCTCCACTAGCACAATGGGTGTCACTCGAAAAACGATCAAGCAGGGTAACAGCACCGAGAGGCCCAAGAAGGGAGATGAGGTTACCATTGAGTACACCGGCAATCTATACGATTCTAGTGTAGGCCCCGAGAAGGACTTCAGAGGCAAGCAGTACGTACACAACACGCTTCTTTGAACGCAGACCGTTTCAGAAGATATTTCGCTGATCGATGCCTCGCTACATTTAGATTCGATTCATCCGTAGGCCGTGGGGACTTCAGGACACAGATTGGCGTTGGCAAGGTCATCAAAGGTGCCTCGGACTTGTATGCACCCGAAGATATGGCCATTGGTTGATACAAGCTAGGCTGGGATGAGGGCGTCACCGAGATGACACTGGGGGAAAAGAGCATCTTGACCATCTCTGGGTATTCCCCCACCTACACTCTGCAAAGCTGCATCTTCAAACCTTTTCTTCCGGCCTGGACTCTGCTAATTTCTCCCAAACCAACAGTGACTATGCCTACGGCGACCGGTAAGCCTCTTAAAGCCTATACTTTTCCTTCTACAGAGCATGCTGGGCCGACGACCTTCCCAAACCCTTCGAAATTTAAGGCCATTGACTGACGAACATTTCTCTGGCACAACAGTGGCTTCCCAGGCCTCATCCCACCGAATGCTACATTGATCTTGTGGGTGGACGTCTCTCCTACTTTCACCGATGTAACGTTGGGGCTCTGCCTTGCTCTCCTCCCACGTCATACCCAGCCAGACCACAGGACTTGTCCTGCATACCTCTAATGTAGCATGTCATACTCAACACTTGCACCACATTGATTGTACCATTCAAAGGCTGACCGAATTCTACAAATCTAGTGAAGTCGAGCTCAAAGGCATCAACGGCAAGAAGGCCTAGGCCAACCGCTCGCTCGACCGTTCAAGACTACAGACCATACCCAACCGCAAATGGCACTGCAAGATGCTCGATCTGGTGCGATACACATACGACACGGCATGCTTAACGACTTTCCTTCAAGACTTTGAATTCTTCATGATTCCCCTTCTCAAAAAGTCGACTAGCCCACCATGGGCTATGTTAGATACCACTGTTCTTGCTCTCAGGGAGCGTCAAGCTACTAGGCTAATTCCACAAACTTGGCACTTGCTCTCTCCAATGCCCCTAATGTGACTCGCTCCGCCTGAACACCAAAACACGAAGCTAACGCACGGACCTCTATAACGTGTCAAGATCCAGTGGCTTAACGACCTGCAATCCTTCCCCGAATCCTTCGTTCCATTCACTAGCAAAGTCGATTAAAACCCATGAATCCTTGTGCCTGAATTCGGAACCCTCGAATCTCCATCCCTAATCCTTGAGCCTGAATCCTCAATCCCCGAGCCCCCCTCCAAACAATCCATTCATCCTTCTATCCACCTGGATATCGCCTAAAGCAGCGCAAGATCCTCCAACAGGTTCACTATGCCCAAAGCCCCACATTATACAACCCCTCCCCAACACACCCTTAGCCTTCCCAGAGGGCTTCCAATTTCCGAATCTTCCATTCCTCCCTTCATAGTCTGTGTGCACTGCCATGTACGACCATACCCTAAAGTCTGCCGAGCCCACCTCAACCAATATTGCCAGTACAAGTTGGCAAACGAGACTGAGTTGTCCATCCTTTGGCACTTGCATGCCTGGCTAGGACACTTTGCTCCATATGCTCGCCAGTCTGCTTTTGAGTGTCTCCCGATCTTGAGGACGGATTTTGGTATGCTTTCTTTGAGTGTACCATACGCCTCGAAGAGATGAGGTCTTTCATGTTGCATACACTCCTGGTTTGAGAGGCGAAATATATATAACGCAATGTAATCAGTAGACAAGAACATGTTCTGTATGCGGGGGGCAACTCTACCTTCTATACCACATACTACGCATGGTTCAATGTCCAAGCCAAATCCCACTTCTTACTTACTATTGGACAGCCGATTCGGCTCACTACGGCCTAT